GTAGGGAGGAGGAGCCCCACTGAATGCGGTATACAAACAGTTTCGTGTTTTTGTTTATCAACCCCCCCCCCCACCCCCGGAATGTCGTGCCTTGAACGCATTTTGTTGCGATCGGCTTGCTGTGCTGCACGACCGCCGAGGACCACCGACCGCTGTGCCACCAATGTCGGCGCGCGGGTGTGTGTTGGCTGACAAGGCAAAGTCCGGGCGTCTCGGCAAGCCAAGCTACAACACTTTCGTCCAGAGGGAACGGCCCCGTTAGCGCAACCAGACCGTGATAGTACCCACCCAGCCACATTCAAAGAGTGGGTACTTGTATAGAACAGCCTGGTGATGATGTCCGTGCATGCAATCAATGCCAATGCCGTAACTCTCTTGACGATAAAACTGCCCCGCCCGCCGCCGCCCGAACCGCACAAACACTGCGTAACATGACAGCGTAGCTCGACAGCGCCTTGTTGCTAGGGCGCCGAAATATTACAAGCCGATTTCATCGAGTCATGGGAGCACCTCATCCTGGTGCAGCAGAGGGAAAAAACTGTGATAAAGAAACGGTGATTATTCCGGTAGGAGGCATGTGTCACCCTGCCGTTAGGCACTACCGATGGACAAGCAGCAGGCGTGTTGGTTTACAAGACTCAAGTCCCACACAATGATTCCCCTCCTGGTGTTACTGCGGGCACACCGCACGCAACCAACACGCATCTCCTTCGAAAGCATGCCCCCCCCCCCCGACAAAAACAAAAGGTGCCGCAAAGTGCAAGCCAGGCCACCCCACATCCGCTACTACGTGGACAACCAGCAGTTGACGAGGCGTCTTCCGTTGTCTAATTTCTCGACCAACCAAAGGTGGTTTGACTACATACTTCCAATAACTACTTACTGCTGCGATTGAGCAGGAACTGCAGCTGCTGCCACTCCGTTGCCTAGGACGTGGGACCTCAGCCGCGCCAGCGTGATGAGCACGGCCTCCTCCGTGCGGATGGTCCGGCTGCCCTGCCCAGGGCAGGTGTTGACCCACATGTCGAAGAGCGCGGAAGACTCGCTCCCGGGGAGTTGCAGAGATTCGTCGGCGTCCACGGTGGCCTCGATACCCTGGCGAACGAGGGGCCAAAAACAACGAGGGTACAGAAGAGCTTCCTGTTTAGCGTCGGTGGCCGGGAAAATACCGGTGTTTTCGGCGGGCACACTCTGAATTCCCAAGTCTTCTCAATACCTTGAATATTGTGCCGGTCCGGTCCGTGCCGGTGAAATTTCTTGGCACATGGTAGATACCAGCAGTGGACACGGACCTCTACTGCACGTCATTTTTGAAACCCAGCCTCTTAGCACGTGCGTCTAAAACAGACGGCCAGACAGAGACACGAACATACAGCAGTGCATCAGGTACTCTGGGATTATTCCCCAGACACTGGTGCCATGCCCCTTCTATTGCCGCGGCCACGCCGAGGGGAAACCTTGAAGAAAAAAAATGTTCATTAGGGAAGCTGCGTAGTTGATCCCAAATCCTCCCACTATCGGCCCACGCATGGACAAGCGCATTATGCCAGTGTCACGGCCGGGAGTTGAGCCTCCGATCTCGATGATCCAACGATTAAGACACTTTTTTTCTTGTGAGTTTTCGTCACTCAATTTTCTGGTTACACCTTGTGCGTGCTGTCTGCAGCGAAAAGGCGGGGCTGGAGGACGCGAGCCATGGAACTACCGCAACTACAAGCACGGGCTTCGAACCCCGCCGACACACAAGCGACGAAACAAGCATCTCGTCAAGCCCACGCTGTTTTCGAGAGCCTGCAACATCCGTTTCGAGCCACTGCAATCGCCCACAACAACCCGAGAGCCAAAATGCGTTTCGGGCCCCAGCAACAAATCCGAGACGAACGTCCCGGGGACTGTACACCTCTGGCGCTGCTGAATCAACGGGAGAAAAAAAAACAAGAACCGATGACGGTCCCAACTCAACACCACTTCCACCACCACCACCACCATCACCACCACCACTACCATCACCACCATCAACATCACTACCGCCATAACCGCCAGCAAAAACAACAAAACAAAACAAAAAACAGCCCGGTAACCCTAACCCTAGCCCTAACCTGCACGCCGCCGAAGACGACGAGGGCGTGGCGGTACTCCGGCAGCGCGAAGTCGGGGCTGTCGACCGTAACGTTCCCGCGCTCCGACGTCCCGACGGTAAGGTCGTACCTGCCACCAGCCATGGCGTAATCATGACGAAGAAAGGGGGGGGGGACGCCGGCATGATGAACGAACGCTACACAGATTTTCTCTTGGGGCAGAAAATTCCACACCGTAGATAGAGGCCATGGAATCTTTAAACGCCGTCTTGTCCGTCCGTAGGAAGCGGAATTCGACACATTGGAGGACATGGAAGAAGCAACGTCGTTTGTCCATCTGAGCTGTGTGCGGGGTGTCAAGGAGCCAGACACGCTAAGCCCGTCCCACCCACAGGTGTAGCACATCGAAACACCAAAGAGCAGGCAACAACAGCGACAACAACTGCAGCAGCTAACCCGGCATCAGAACCAACAAACCACGGGATTGGAGTCCTCAAAACTCCCCCCCTCCTAACCGCTGAGGCATGCAAAACACGAGCACGCCCCCCCCCCCCGCCCACCCCCCGTTCTCACCCGCCCTTGTAGGGACAGCCGGCAAGCAAATCCGCCATCCCGCTGGCGAGACGCGTCTGGTACCCCCAGTAAAGCCCAAGCTCTTCGCGAGGGGCCGACGGAGGCACCGCCCTCCCCTTGTGGTTCTTCTTGCACGGGTCTCCCTGACAAAGAGAAGCGGAAACGGTAGACGACAATCCGGTAACCTTGTTTGCAAGAAAACGAAAAGCCGGGCTCCTTCGGGGTCTCCCCTAAAAGAAGAGCGGAAATGTATTATAAGACAAACGATAAACCTAACAAGAAGCCGGCCGGGCGTCTTGATTGCATGCTGGTTGTCATGACCGTGTAAAGGGAGCGGAGGGGGAGAGTGCTGCGGCCGTTGAGGCCGTGTAATGGGAACGGAATGGTAGAATTAGAAGTGCGACCCAGTACCCAAACTTGAGAAAAAAATATTTAGCGTCCCGAAGAAATGCAAGGGCGGTATGTACTAAAAGAAAAAAAACAAAAACCCATTGTCTGCACGCATGGTAGGTCTCTTCGCGCTACAAGGTCTCCCATTGCAGCTCGAAAACTTAGGCCTCTACGGGTAGACGAACGGGGAAAGAGGGCGAGGCATGCTGGTAAAGGGCCGAGAAGGAAGACACGAAAAAACGTGCCACGTCTGGACGGGCATCAAACGCGCATTTCCCGCGTCTTGTTTTCCAATACATGTACGTCGTTTCTGAGCTATGCACCACTTTCGCAAGCGACTTCAAGTTTGATGCTGGACCCTTGTGTGTACACCTCCAGACCAACGTTCTCTCTGCCCCGTTCTCGAACCTTCTTATGTCACACTTGGTCCACAAAAAAAAATCAAAAATTCACCCCGAGTAGATATACACCTTATCGAGCTTCACCGTCACCCGTACCCCGGGGTCCAGCGGGCGGTCGATCCGTGCTTCCTGCGGCATGATTTGGTTCCAAGACAACGCAAAAAAAAAGAATTTAAGGAGGCGGGGGGGTAAAAAGAGAGGACGTGGAGGAGCGGGGAAGGGGAAGGGATCATTCAACCGTTGCCTTTGTATCAAGGCCAATTCACCCATTGTCTTACCAAAAGACCGTCCGTCCATTGTCTCATCAAGACCCTTGTCTTATGAAACGACCAATCAAGACCCTTGTCTTACGAATAGACCATTCGCCTGTTGTCCTATCAAGACCCTTCACCAACCGTCTTCTCAAAAAGACCATGCACCCCTCGTCTCATCAAGACGGTGTACACGCCGTCTTCTACACAACCATCTCTTGGGAGTTTCTTTATTTTCCTGGAGAGCACGCTTCATCGGAGGTACAGGCAGACAAGACCACGCCTGAGGGACGAAGCAGCGTTTCCTTGCAGTGAATCTCAGCGGTGGCGGCGGTAGTGATAAGGCCGATTTCTTGCCGTCTGGCGCTACACAACTGCCAGGCCCCACGTGGCGTGTGCGGGGCGGGTGAACAAGGCGGTAAAAACTATCGCCTCTCGAAACCTTCGCTCTGCTAACGCCTGCGCCGTCTACGGGCGCGAGAACACGAGGCGGACTGACAAGCTTCCATACAGCTTGACGTCGTGTTGGCGTGCTTGGTACCGCAGGTTGCGGAAGACCTCACACCCCCCGTAACGGTTTTCAAAGCTCGATTACTCCACATCGAACAGGATGCCCAAATTGAAGCATATAGCTTCGGAAAGGTCTCGATGAGACGGTTCCAACGCCTCCCGCCATTTTCGGCACCGTCACTGCTTTATCCTGCCAAGATATCGAGCTTCGAGAATCGGTCCAGGGGGTGTGATATCTTACGTCATGTAACCTTACGGTACCCTCCCCGCACCCTCGTTCTTGCAGGGATTCGGTGACACCCCACACACGCACACGCCGTGCGGCGTCTGAGAAGCACCTTGCCAAGGGCGTTTTGGAACGGTCCAACCAGGTATTCTACCATACTCGTACGTTAGATACTTTGGAAACTTCTTGCGGGGTCAATTCGGACCTACAAGAGCATTTTTTGCGAGGTGAGGGGGGTGGACTGTTTCGTCCTACCGTGAGTTGCTAGAAAATTTTGCTATTTACGTTGGGGGCCGCGTGTGCGTCTAAGAGGATCGATTCCGAACGATTCGATGATCAAAGCAAAGAAAAACCGACAAGGATAGTGAAGAATTCCTACGTGGAACAGCAATCAAACCCATAACAGCGCGTTCGCCCAAAACGCCGACCAAAAAAAATAAACGTCCCGTCATAGTCCCTGCCCTACCTCTACAAACACCCAGACGAGATGAAGCCAAAAAAGAGATATGCCACCGACAGCACAATCACCTTACGCTTGCCGATGTCGACGAAGGAGCCGGCACCCTTCTTGATAGTCCGGTCGAGCACCACCCCTTCCCGAAAGGGGCAGGCGTCGTCGGCCCTCATGTGGTGCGGCGCGTCCAGCGGGTTCAGCAGGCCGGCAAGGCGAAGGCTGGAATGCATCGGGAACAGCTGCTTCCGGAGGTATTGTGGGGTCTCCGCGTACTGCAAGGGGGAGGGAGAGGCGTTGGTTGTGGGAGGCGGGGGGGGGCACTCTTATGTTTTGCATGCCTTAGCGGTTAGACCTTTGGCCACGCGTCGAGAGGACGGAACATTGTTCCCACAGGACCGATTACCGATGGCCACTCGTCCCTTCCTACTTTGCCAAAGGTGGTTGGGGGAGAGGGGCGGAAGGCGGAAGGGGACGTTTGAGTTGGGTGGATGAGCTAGTTAGGCTCTGCTGCAGCGACGGGGGCGGGGCGCAGCGGAGGAGTGAAGGTAGAGGGGGGGGGTACTCATGTTTCGCATGCCTTAGCGGTTAGACCATCGACCACACGCGTCCTCGAGAGGACGGAGCGTTGTGACCACAGGAGCGACGATGGCCAATCGGTCGGGGGGGGAAGACAAGTTAGAGGAGGTTTGAGTTGTGTGGATGCGATGGAAAAGTTCTGCTACAGCGAAAGGCGTGTGGAGCGGGTAGAGGGGGGGGTAGAGAAATGAAAATCGGTGCATGCACGTGGGGTTCGAGTCTAGCGTGACACCGGAAGTTCAGCGTGCAAGGCGCGCAGCATCCCTGTACAAGTTCGGAAGCGTCGTGAAAAGCTCCCGCACACAGACGGCAGCAGCAGCAGCAGTCGCCGCACACACTGTGCTGCACGCGGGCGTCTCGCTCCGAGCGTGCGCAACATCTCTCGCCTACCCCGAAGAAGAGATGTCTCGGTTTCCTCTTCATCTTTGGCATGGAATCCGACCAACGACCAGAGCAGTTGACGATACACAAGCTGCACAGGCGAAGTACCTTCTTCGGTATTAACCAAAACTAATGTTTTACGTTCTTGGCTTTCGATTTGACGTCCTTCCTCTTCCGTTTCATACGCACACATAATCCGGCAACTACCGCAGCAGGAGGGGATGGGAGGCGGAAAGAAACCGGGGTGTTTTTGTCCATTATCCAAAATTTAATACACGACGCACCTGCAGCAGCCGCGCCATGAAGACGTTCGGGTTGTTCTTGTCTCCACCGCCGCCGCTCCCGTTGGCAGAACCCCCCCCCCTGTTGAAACCGCCGGCTGCCGCCACGCTGGCCGAGTCGTCCCTCACCCCCCCCTGGCCCTTCCTCGACACGGACAAGTCATCGTAGACCACGATCTCATCGACCTCGAATACGGCTGCTGCTCGAGCGATCTCTCCTACCTATTTGTGTACCGTAGTTGGTCACGGGGGGGATGGCGTAGGGGGGAAGCGTTCAAACTTCATTCTAGCCTGTGCTCGGTCTCTATCTCGTTAGTTTCGACAATGGGTCGTTCGGCGCTTTGCTACCCCTTCCAATTCGATCAGATTGCGGCTTTTCGTCACGTTATACTGCTGTCGCGTTGGAGGTGGAGCGAATGCTCGCACCCCTCCCGAACGAACTTCCAACAGATTTTGGCGTCCCCTCAGGGGAGACCGGGGGGCGCGCGCCGGGGGTGGGAGGGTTGGGCAAGGGTGCTGGCACGTGTATTTCTTTTCACGTAACCGTTCGACCCTTGACGACGATGCACTTATCCTCGCCGAGACCAAACCACCGTCCATCTTCGTCCCTATTACCGCTACCGTACCGTAGTGAACGCTACGACACTCGGGGACGCGCGCGCGCGCGTGCGCTCACCAGATACGTCTTCAGCTCGCGGCTCTGAGCGTTGTCGACCACCGACCCCGGGATCGCGATGGACAGCGTGTGTTTTCGAGGCTTTCCTTGGCCGGGGCCGCCGGGGGCCAGAGCCAGGGGATGGGGGTCTGCCGTCCCCTGTCCTTCCCGCCGCCCCGCCGCCGCCGCCGCGCCGCCGTTCCGCGATCCCGGGTTCCCTTCTTTCCGGGCCCTTCCGTGGGTTTTCCCAAGTCTTCGTCGTTCCTTGGGAGGGGATGGTACCCCGGCTGCCCCCCCCGGCGTAGAGGAGCCGTCGTTCACGGTGGTGTTGTCCTGAAGGTTACACAGCAGCACGGGAAGGTTTTCATTGACGTGCGGCATTGCGTTTGTTTTCACTGTTGTGTGAGTACACAAACACCCCTACCACACACAACCGTGACATATTTCTTCAATCAACGCCTCTGGGATGAAAACAAGTGCAAAAATCTTGGTGGGTACTGTCACTTATGCGGTAGGGAGTTTAAGGCCAAGACGAGGCTGACGCCGCTCTGTCTGTGTCTGTGTCTCTTTTTCTCTCTCTCTTATTGCATCTGTCTTTGCTGCCCGGTCTGTCTGTTTCAATATTCCCCTGTGTTGCTTGTCACACCAAGGCTGTCATGCCATCTTTTCTGTCCGAATCTGAATCTTGGGGTTCTCTCTGAGACGCTTTCCGTAAGAACAACATGACCTTGATGCTCCACCTGCCTTCCTCTCTGTGTCGGGAGTTAAGCCCATCGGCACCCATGCGCTCGGTCCATTCACAGGTGGACGTCCACCCACCTTCTCCACAATGTCGGATACCCTCGCCCCCTTGTTGAGGCCTTGACAAGGTCGAACACCATGGAGACGACAACCAGGGCGAAGAGGGGGTCGACCTCCACCTGTGTTGTTTCACCGACACACACATCGCACGCACACACACACATAATAAACACACACACACACACACAAGCAAACACGAGCACAGCTTACTTGCTGCACCTGGGTACATGCAGCTATTGCGCTATGTAGCAAGCAGACAGCATTTCCCATCATGTTTTCTGCCTTGTTGTACGCGGAGGATGTCTCAATCGTTCAATCTTTCAAATTACCAGGGTGTTTTTCCCAGCTAACCCCGTAGCGCCGGCAGCTTCCGACAGCGCTTCACGAGATGATTTTTCCTCCCCGGAAGCAGCAGCCACTGCTGCTGATGCTGCTACTTTTGGCCCCTCCGTCGCAGAAGAAGCCGGGGGTGGTACCGCCGCCGCAGCTGCTTGGGTCGCCGTACTTGACGTCTCCAATCCCTCGCCCTCAAGCTTCATCTTCTTCCTCTTCTTTTTCTTGTTCTTCTTGTTCTTCTTGCTGCTGCTCTCACCATCGCTGCTGCGGCCCGCCGGGCTGAAACCACCGCCGCCGCCGCCGCCGCTTCCTGGCTCTACTTGTGTGGGCTGCTGCTTGTGGCCACGGCCAGTGCTAGCAGCGTCGGGGTCGGTGGCGGGGGTATTTGCTGTACGGTCGGCATTGGCCGGCGAGCCCACGACGCTCGATGCCGAAGGCACGAGGGCCGGCGACTCGGCCTTCCTCTTCATGATCGAGTTCTCACACCGCCCACCACGAGCACAGAGAGACAGGGTAGGTGGGGAATGCAACACCACCCCACCGATATCAGTCTATAGCTGCGAGTGGAGCGTGCTGGGTGCTGGAGCGGCGGCGTGCGGCGAAACGAAGCATTGTGACAGTCCAGTACCAACTGCAGGGCCCCCAGTTGCGCCGCGTCACGGATGTGGTATGCCCTGCCGCTTGTTGTGTGTGCCGTGCAGCTGGTGCCGTGCACAGAGGCCGCGCACTTCGGAAGCGGTTGCTGGTTGCTTCAACCTGCCGTTCTCCTCCCGCTTGGCCGCGGAAGAAGCAGTGACTTCGAGTGATCCGTGGTGTAAAGTGCAAAGAGGTGTGAGTTCGAAGATTTTCGGCATGTCGGGCCGTGGGTTTGTCGAATACAAAGTACTTCCCGCTACACCACTGTACTCTCTCTCAACGCAGCGTGATCACAGCAAAGTGTGAGCTACATAGCATAGTGTTCAGGGCTCGAGGGACACCCAACAGCCGTCGAGGACACACAACAGCCGTCGAGAACATCCGCACACAAGGGCCTGTTGCAGACCTGCGCTTGGTTGGCCCGCCCGGAACAGACAGATCTGCATCTCCGGTTATGACTGCGAGAGTGGAGAGTGGCACCGTAATTGACGCAAGATATCATACCCCCTGGGCCCAAGCTCGATTTTCTCCACGGCAGAAAGGGCGGTTTGCATAGCGCCGAAAGCGGTGGCTTGGACAACGTCTCGTCGATGTATATTTTTAACGTTTTGTTCTAATTTCGCATCTTCGTTGTGGAGTAAGCGAACTTTGAAAATTAGTCCACGGGGCGGTGGCTCGTGTCACCTACGAAATGCAGACGAGGGTGTGGGGAAAAGACCCTTGCCAGGATATTTCCCATCACGGGTGCACTGCACTCCGTTGCGTTGTCGCCTGTTTTCGCAAGTTCGGGCAGGCTGTAACAACAAACAGTTGTCCATCCCCCACGCTGAACATGTTTCGTGTCGTGAGTCTACAGGAGGACGGTCTACATGCTACGGCACGGTCGAGTGCAAGTTGGCAGTTTGATAGCTCACAACCCACCCCGCGCCCCCCCTGCACCGTAAACTAGCAGACGCCTGGCGAGGAGAGACAACGAACGGGCACCCGCGTACATAAACGCTCGAAATCTTGGAACCGGTGGCGTCATCGACTCTTGCGTGTGCTTGGGGCGACGCCGGACAACGTAACCAAGCTCGAATACGGCAGGCGAGCCTTGGAGTGGAAAACCACGTTTCCGACGAGGGCGTAGTCTTGGTCCTCTGGCAAAGACTCACGCTCTGTTGCCGAAGGGTTCTTTCCAGCGGAGGGGGGGAGGGTGGCGGCAGATTGCTCATAAGCCACTCTACAGCTGCTGTCCCTCTCGTTCTTCAGCCCGCTGTAGTAGCTCGATCGGTCCCCAGGTGCGCGCCGGGAGCAAGCAGCAAGCAGCAACACGACAAGCAAGAGGAGACAACATGGGGGCGGATTCGACGCCGGTTTGTCATCGCCGTGACCACTTGGCAGCAACAGTGACGCGCCAGCGGCGGCAGCTCCCGAGCGAGTGGCGCCGTCTCGGCACACCGGCAGCGTCATCGTCATCGTCGTCGCCGGCGGTGGCGGCGGCGGTGGCGGCACGTCCCCGAAGCCGGCGGCCAACATGCCGGACGGCAAAGGCCGCCCGCGAGCTCCCCGAGGAGCGCGGCCGCTGCGCGACGGACGACGCCCTCCAGAAGGTCGCCGCCGGCGGCGGCACCAAGATTGGGCCACGACTGCGGGGTGTACAACAGCACCGCTGTCGCACGGAAACCTCAAGCGGAGGTGAAGGAAGCCGCGGCGCCCGTGACGGGAGAGGGCTGCCGCTGCTGCCGCTGGTGCTGGTGCTGCTCCTCGTCCACATGTCGTCGCCGCGAGACCAGGGAGGGTGGGGCCTCATTCCTGGGGCGAACGCGGAGCTCCGCCCGGAAGCCGACCTGACGTCGAACTGCTTCGACTTCCCGGCAAACAACTTCGACCGCGAGAACTCGATCAAGGCCGTGAACGGGGGAAACACGCCGTACCTCCCGCTGACGGTGGGGGAGGACGCCGTCGACTTCACCCTGCACGACCTCGAGGGCCGGCGGTGGAACCTCGGGGAGACCCTCGAGCGGACGGGCCTGCCCGTGGTGATGGTCTGGGGCATGTTCATCTGCCCCGGGTTCCAGGGGTACGGGACGTACCCCCCCTGGGACAAGTGCGGCTATCGTGACGAGTACGACCTGGTGAGTGGGGAGGGAGGGAGGGAGGAGGAAGATGCCTAATTTTTGGTGGGGATGGGGGGGGGTGTACTCATAGTCGTGCATGCCGCAGTCGTTAGACCATTGACCTGATGGTGAGGGTGGAAGTGTTTTTGTTGGTGAAGGAAGTATGTTGCCTTTTTTTTCTCGTCTGGGGTTGGGGGGGGAAGAGTTACCGGAGGAGACGTGGCGGGCCTGTGCGTGTCGTCGCCATCGGATAGGCTGACCCTTGCATAAGCCCAAGCTGCCGCAATGGCGCATACCAACGGAAACGCTACGCCACGGCTTACATGCTGCCACACGAGTTGTTCTGTATGTCACCACCAGCTAGCTGCCACACGAGCGAAGAACACTACTGTACCGACACCAAAAACCCGCGGATCTCGAACCAAACAACCCCCCTTCCCCAGGTGGAGGCGTACGGGGGAAAGGCGACGTTCGTGCACCTCTACGGCCCGGAGCCGCACCCCGCCATGCCCGGGACAAACTTCGACATCGGCACGACGTGGCAGGCGTTTTGGTCCGTCTACCCGCAGGCCACCAGCTACGACGAGCGGGCGGCCATGGCCCAGAGAATAAACCGCCTGATCCATCCATCTCAGGTCGGTGCAGCTACACATCCCTTACCCTGTATCCCGAGCCCCAACAAATGCCTACTTACCCCAAAATAAGCATGGGCGTAAGGAACGGCAAATAATCGATTCGGGATGCCAATTTGGTAGAGATTTTTCCCGTGGGGGTCAAAGTTAGGCGGCGGGCGCCTCCCGTTTCTTACAGGGGAAGCTCGTGGTACATGGTGTTCGCGATTGAACTTGAGCAACAATGACGATCGGTAAGGTTTCAACCTGCGCATGGCCTTACGTACCGTACCGGCCCCCCATCCTTGCACACCATCCGTGCCGCCCAAGATAGTGAGTGCTCGTGAATGCCCATCGTGACAATCGCATGCACCATCTAGGCTCGTTCATGGCGAGCATGGCGCAATACACGGGCCTACATCCATAATTCATCCGACACGGACGGTAGCTGGAGCTAGAGAACACCAAAACACGTGCGACATCTTCACCCATGGTTCCACCCAGAATCATCCCGATTTCCTTCTAACCCCTCTCCCACCATTACCATGCCCCCCCCCCCGGTCACCAGGACATTCTGGTAGACTACTTGCCGGGAAACCCGTACAGCGAGCTCATCCAGCCGGTGTGGTGCTCGTACTCGATGGGGGCGAGGCCGGTGACGGTGGTGTCCCCGGACGGGAAACTGTTCTTCCAGCGGGCATGGTTCCACTCGGAGCACGTCGGCAGGGCGATCGACGAGTATTGGTGCCAGCAGGAGCAGCAGCAGGAGCAGGAGGAGGGGGAGGCCCTGAGGCGGCGGAGCGGAGACAGCCCGCTGCAGGAACGGGAGGGGCTCCGCCAGGAAGAGGGAGGGGGGCTGGGAGGCTTCCGCGGCACCGCAAGCGGGGGAGAGGGACCGCCCCCGGGGGAGAGAGAAGCGGCAGCGACAGCGATAGCGACAGCGGGCAGTGTTGGCATCAGCAGCAGCGGTGGCGCAGGAGACGTCTCCGGCAGCGATACGTTGGGCGGGGCCCCGAGAATCGCCTCCTGGACCTCGTGTCTCTCCGCCGAGGAGGGGGCGAGCGACGCCGCCGGCGACATGGGGGAGCCTGGCATCCCGCCGCTGGCGGGAGTGTTAGCGCGGAGGGGCGAAGAGGGTCCCTCCTCCTCCACACCCCCGTGGTAGGCAGAGTACGAGAAGAATGGCGACATATTCGTTGCCGTCAAAGGGAGGTGCGGAGGGATGGGAGGGTTAAAGGCGGCTGGCTGTCAGGGAGTCGTGCCGACTGACCACTAGCTTTGCGAAAAAAAAAATGTTACCTGGCTCATATTGACGGGTTTTCCTGAGGGCGTGGACAGTTTTCTGGGCGTTGTTGCGGGAGCAAGGACGTTCTGAAGAACCCATGGTTCATGTCCGGTAGTGGAGGACTGCTGCTTGCGCCAAGAGAACGGAAAGTTCGAAGCGGGGTTTGTACAGAACAGCAGGAATGTGAAAAATGGGGTGGAGGATGGGGTGTCGGAATGCTGTGTGCGTTTCCCACGCTTGCTTGAAGTTCCTCTTCACGGCCGCCCCCTCTGGCGTATGGTGTTTTCCTTTATGTGGTTGGGGGTGATGGTTACGTCTGTGAGTTGTTGGTGCCGTGGTTGAGCCTGGCTGTATAGGAAAAGTAGGGCGGACAATCAGCTGTTGACAACCGACCGAATGCCAAGCGTGGGACATGAGGGCACAGGCGAGCCTGGGCGTGTCAATTTCCACGGAAAAGCTTCAGGCTTTGGTTGGGTCCCGCAGTTTAGGTGGCTGTGGGAGATGAATACACGTGCACGATTCCATTCAACTTTCCCAGACCAAGACCACCAAAATTCGCAACACAAATATTCGAGCGATTAAGTGGTCATATGGGCGCGTACTGAGCTCTGTCATTCTCGTTCTCATGGTGCAGCCAGGAATTCGATCCGGATTTTTGCGCCGCCAAGAAAACGACAGCTTTTCGGGGAGAAAGCCCAAAACGGACCAAAGACCGCGTGGTCATTGAGGTAGAGGCAGGAGCGGGATTTGGCCTCTGCGTCAAGCTTTCACCCTCCGTTGCTACTCTGCACGCCATCTCCGTGAACTTTGCCGAAGATGCCAGGTCCACTGCTGCTGTGTACGTCGGTGGCGAACAAGGTTGAGGCCCGTCGTGGAGATCAGCAAGCACATGTAGACGAAAGCCATTTGTGATTCACTAATTTTCATTCGTTGTTGTGATTCACTAAGTTTCATTCATTTCTCTTGTTCCACTAGGAAACCAAGCAGAGAGGAGACATCAACACAGCAGCATTTGCTCGGAGTACCCCAAAACCAGCACCTACCCACCCGAAAATATGTTCGTCAAGAAGTAATCTTCTTACGCGCACCGAATGGCATCACGCGCGAATGTGGATGAGATGGAACATCTTTACCGAGAGAAATCGGCCCAGAACACGCAAGCACCACTACAACAACAACATTGTCTTTAACGGCCCACAGAGAGGAATACACTGCGACTCGCAGACCAACTCAAAGCACAGCTACTTACTCCCGCTCTGAACACGGGAGACCCCCATACCCCACCGCCCTCAGTTCGCGAAGCCAAATGGAGTGACCCCGTTTACTGGTCCAATAATCTGATCCAACAAACGATCGCTAGACTACAAAATACGAGCAGGACGTTTATGGCCCTCACAAGGACGAGCAAACGCCGCACGCACGAACACGACACAAGACCAGCAATCAGATCACGTCCACCAGCAACCAAAGCTCTGGGCGGTGTCTCACGACACCGTGGGTGTAGAAGAAACCCCCCCACCCCAAAAACCCTCCTCACATAGTTTATACCACAAATTTTTACTCAATAGCTGTATGCAGCAGGTGCAAAGGCACGTAGAAGCTACCAGACAGCCCGCTGCCGAGAGAGAGGGGTCAAAGCACCCCAACACGGGTGCCACCGGAGCCCCACCTCCGTTCTTCTCTTTCTTCTGCTTCTCGGCATTCATACGAGGGGGACATTTCACGAGAGAAGGCGAGCAACGAACGCGAAGAATAAAACTGCGGTAAGAACCGAAGCGAACGTCGTCGCCCTCGGCACCAGCCCCCGTAACTAACACGTACTACAGTATGTACGTGTGTTTCTTGTGCCTGCACGTGTACTGCATGGTAGCGGTGCCTGCCCCCTATCCGCCCCATACCCTATGGCAAAAATATGTACTCCCAAGTTAAAAGCTGTTGATGATGGGTCTTCACACGCTCACCCACCAACCAACAACACGGACACAACAAACCAACCACTTTTGAATTTGTTCGTGTCGTCGGCGCTCCTTCCTTAGGCACCAACGAACATCGCAGCGGCAGCAGCGGTGATCACGCCCATGAAGACCGTTCCGGGGGTGTGGCTGGCGGCGCCGAGGGGGGACTCGCTGCTACCGTCTTCAGCGGCCTCAGAAGCGTCGGGATCGGTGTCGTCGTCGTCCACAGCATCGGTGGCGTCGATCATGGTAGCGACGTCGCTCGTAGTTGGTACGTCGTCGTCAAGCACAGCGGTCGCGGCGTCGTGCGTAGCATCGTCGACCGTCACAGCACCTTCGTCGGCAGTAGTAGAAGTAGCAGAAGTAGCATCGTCTTCGTCCTCGGTACCATCCCCGCCAGAACCTGTTTCCAGCAGTAAATTCAAGAAGGGGGGGGGGGGGGGGGGGGGGGGGGGGCCCTTTTTTTTTTTTGTGGTTTTAGGGGGGGGGGGCTTTTTCCCCCCCCCCCCCCCAAAAGAAAAGAGTTTTTTTCCCCCAGAAAAACCCCCCAGGGAAAAACTTTTTTTTTTTTTTTTTGAAAAGGGGGGGGGGTATAAACCTTTTTTTTGGGGGGGTGTTTTTTGGGGGGGGCCCCCACAAAAAAATCTTTTTTTGGGGGGGGAGGGGGGAAAAAACCCCCCAAAAGAGGTTTTTTTTTTCCCCCC